CCCCAAAATAATAAATAAGAATAAATAAGAAAAGAAAAGATCATATACTTTAGGGAAGGCAACACTAAACAACTTAAAGTAACAGTCATATTAAATTCTGTTCAGGACACAAGAGATTTAAGAGAAGAGAGCAAGTCCGACAGATTTAGCACTGAGCAGTCATTTTGTTGTATCCTAACGGGCCAGGTTGCTTTTCTTTATATTTTAGTTTATTTTTTGTTTTTGACCTGGTGATGCTCAGAGCTACTTCCTGCTCAGTGCTTGAGTGCTACTCTGTGTGTGGTGCCAAGGGAACCACGTGGCATTGAACATGGACCTCCCCACGTGCAAAGTACAGGTTCAACCTGCTGAGCTGTCTCTCAGCACCTTTTTTTGCTGTAGTTTTCTGTTTGGTTGTTTGTTTAATTTTTGTTTTGGTTTTGAGCCACCATCTCCTGTGCTGAGGGCTTATTCCTGGCTCTGTGCTAAGAGGTCACTCAGTGTGCTCATGGGACCACAGTGGTGCTGGAGATCAAACCAACTTAGCCATATGCAATACAAGCACCTGACCCACTGTACTATTTCTCCAGCCGTATTGTTGTTTTTAATTTGGGGCCACAGCTTGTGGTACATGAGCTAAGTCAGGAGTACTGCTAGCTTAGTGCTGGGGGTTGATCCTACTGGTGTTCAGGAGACCAAGTAGTTTTGCAAATTGCACCCAGGGCCTCATTCATACCAGAGAGCAAGTGCTCTACTACTGAGTCACACTCAGCCCTCTTTTTCTTTTTTAAAAAAATGTCCTTAGCACAGGTGAAATTTGTTGTGAGGAGCAATGTGACAAGGCTTGATATAAGGACAGTGCTCTGACACATATTATAGATACAAACTTCAAGCTTTCAGATGCCTGGATCCCCTGCAGGGTTTTTCTTTTCTTTTCTTTTTTAAATTTTTTTTCTTTTTTGGGGGGTCACACCCTGCGATGCACAGGGGTTATTTCTGGCTCATGCACTCAGGAATTACTTCTGGTGGTGCTCGTGGGACCATATGGGATGCTGGGAATTGAACTCAGGCAAATGCCCTCCTGCTGTGCTCTTGCTCCTGCCGCAGATTTCTCTCTCTCTCTCTCTCTCTCTCTCTCTCTCTCTCTCTCTCTCTCTCTTTCTTTCTTTCCTTCTCCCTCCCTCCCTCCCTCCCTTCCTTCCTTCCTTCCTTCCTTCCTTTTTTTAGTTTTGGGTCCACACCCAGATGTTCAGGGCTTACTCCTAGCTCTGTGCTCGGGTATCATTCCTGGTGAGCTCAGGAGACCATATGAGGTGTCGGGGATTGAACCCGAGTCAATCACATGCAAGGCAAGCACCTTAACCCACTGGATTATCACTCAGCCCCTATTTTTTTCTTAAAAAGAAATTCTTTTTTAAAGTTTTTGAGTCATACTCAAGCAGTGCTCAGAGCTCACTCTTGGCTCTGTGGGCTCTGTGTCCAGGGGTCACTCTTCACAGCTTTTGGGGGAACATATGGGGTGCCCTGGATCAAACTGGGATTGGCCATTCGTAAGGCAAGTGCCTCACTTAACTCCTGTACTATCTCTCCAGCCCGGGGATTTTTAAAAAGTTCTCAGTGATTCTAACAGGTAGTAACGTTGAAGAACCTGTTACTACGCCACCCTGCTGTCCCCCACCCTTCTAGTTTCCTCCAGTAATTCTCTTTGGAGCCTAAAGCAGCAGTTTGAGGACCACCAGGTTAGAGAGTCACTTAGTTTTCTTTTTCCTTGTCCTTTCAGCTCTTTAGAAATTTAAACAAGGATGTCCAGGTCTTTATCCTACATCCATCCCAGACTTTGCATGTGGCCCAGGATAGCTTACCTCACCTTATCTGCTATCTAGGGACACTAATACCAGCTTAGTTTATCCCTGTGTTTATGACTTCATTTGTGTCTGCCTAAGAATCCTGCCCCCCTTTTCAGGATAGGCAGTGAGTTGCAAAGTGCTGAGAAAAGAGGGTTCCTCTTACAGGTGGCTGTTGATCCGTCACCTTTCACCAGAGACTAAATTTACCTTAAAGAAGAGCGTGGATCAAATTACGCATTGGAAAGCAAGTTTCATTAAAGAGCAAGAAAGGGGACAGTGTTTCCCAGGAGAAGATGAAAAGAAAGGATTTCTTTTTTTGTCTGAAGACTTGACAAAACAGCAACTTGATATCAAATATTCAATGCTAATTAACAAATGCTCGGCAGAAAGCCTCCATCTGATTCCCTCTCTCTCACTGAGGCCAGAGAGCAAATGGCAGGTCTGAGCCACACAGAGTCCTTTCTCTAGCCTTACGGAAGCCATGCATTGTGGATGTGCCTGAGAAAAGGCGGCACAGAAGTCCAAATGTTCAATGCCGGCATCTCTGAATTATTGTGTGAACACGGAAAAGTCACTTTACTTCTCCAAGTTTCAATTTCCTTATCTACAAAAATAAATAACACTGCACTAAACTGTGACTTGCCACAATTGAAAGAGACCTTCCTTTTCCTAGTTTCAATTATCAGGCCTGCAAGCATGCACGTAGCGCATCTGTTTCAAAGCCATGGTTCACAATACTAACTAAGATCCTGGGCCCAGGAGACAGAGAGATAGTGCACAGGCCTTGCAGATAGGGCACTGGCCTTGCACGAAGCTGCAGCCCAAACAATGGCAAATGGTCCCCAACACTGCTAGGAGTGGCTCCTGATTATAGAGACAGGAGTGGTCTCAGAGTACAAAGCCAGGTGCGACCACCTCCCCAACACCACCCTCCCCACAACATAATCAACATACACACAGACACACAGACACACACACACACACACACAGAGTACTGGAGTTGAGGTAGGGAGCTAGCTCAGAGGACTGGAACTCATGAAAAAGGCCCAGCTTGAGTCCTTGGTATTACCTCCACCCCCGAAATTCTTTGATTATCTAAAATTTCAAATATAATTCAGTTACTATTTTTCATCATGAGTGGCAACAACAAAAGTGCTTTTTAAAAAAAATTATTTTGGATCATACCCAGTGGTCATCAGGAATAACCCTTGGCAGTGCTCAGGTGACCGACCCATATGTGATGCAGGTTTATTTGAACTGGGGTCACAGATAATCCAGAGATACACAAGGCAAATGCCTTACCTCCTATACTGTGTCCCTTCAGTCCTCAAGTGACAATGAAATTTATATTGAAAGATGATGTACTGATATTGGGATACCAATCTTAGTCAACTTTTCACCTTAGAAATCAGTAAGGGAGGGCCAAAGCAGCAGTACAGCAGGTAGGGTGCTTGCCTTGCAAGTGGTCAACCCTAGTTCAGTCATGGCACCCCATAAGCCCTCTGCTGCCCGAACATAGCTAAGAACATAATTCCTGGGCTCAGAGCCAGGAGTAAGCCCTGAGTACCACGGGTGTGGCCAATACACAAAAAGAAAGAAATAGTATAGTGGGTAAGGCACTTGCTTTGCATGCAGCTGTCCAGGGTTCAATTCCTGGCACCAAATATGGTTGGTCTCCTGGGCACTGCCATGAATGATCCTTGAGCAACTTTGGATATAGACAAAAGCAAATTGTTTAAAAAAATCAGTATTTTTCAAGTTTGCGATTTGGAGTAGTGTAGGGGTTAAGGTGTTTTCATTGTGTGTGACTGACCCCAGTTTTATCCTTAGCACAGTAAGTTCCCCCAAACATCACTGAGAGCTTCCTCCTGAGCACTGAGCCAGGAATAGCCATGGAGCATTAACCCAACACATGCCCCACCACCACCAAAAAAGGGAAGTTTTTCACATTTTTGTCCCCAAAATTTTTTCTTTGAGGAAGAGTGTAGCTACATTACCACTTTACAGAAAGTGAAGCAGTGACATCTTTTAGTATGACCACTAGAACCTAATGTACTACCAAGGCCAGAATAGCACTGGGATGGGAACCATGTATGTTTGCTGATGTTCCTGCAAACCAAAGGAGGAGGGACTTTCCTGCAAGTAAAATAAGCTCTTTCAGGAAGTGGGAAACCCAATTAAGACTCATTTGAAGGTGGAAAGTGAATGCGAAATCCCTCCAGGAAGCATCTTACCCCTACTTACTTGGACTGAAAAGGAGGTAGTGTGAGCAGGTATTCAGTCTTTTCTAGGTATTCAAACCGGGAAAGGGCTGAAAAGAGTTTCAGAGCAGCTCCTGCATTCCTCTCATTGTCAGGAGGAGCCCTGGGGGGTTTAGAGCTAGGTGGGCCTGCGCCCCCACCCCCACGGTCCCCTGCGAGCTGAGTCCGGGAGAAAGACAATGGCGGAAGAAGGGTATAGACGAGGTTGCAAGCAGAAGGCAGCTCGTTAACTAAGCATGAAGTCTGTGCATTAGGTGTGGGCCGAGGATCTGGTGGGCGACTCGCATCCAGCTATTATTCCGGGGGAGGAGGGGCCGGGCTTGTAAAGGGGCTTAGCGTTCAGCAGAGCGGAGTCCTGAAATGACTTCCTTGGAAATTCTACCTCGCTGCTCCCCACCCCGAGCAACTTCTTTTGTGGAGGGGGTTGGGCGGGGGGGGGGGGGGGCGGATGATGGAGGTGGCCTATCCCACAAACCGTAAACCGTGCGTGCGCTTGTGTGTGTGTGTGTGTGTGTGTGTGTGTGTGTGTGTATGTGTGTAAGAGGAATAGGGAATGTTGGGGCACTCAGACCACTCTTTCGCAGGGGTCCACGTTTTTCCCAGGCTCAGCAGATCCTTTATCCAAAGGGAAAAAGAAGTCTCTCTCGCTTTGCTCTGTCGCGCAGGGCTGCATCCCACTGTGCCCCCTTGAGCTTGCAGGGGAGGCTGGCCTGGGCCAAGACATCTGGAGATGGGGGGGTGGCCGGCGGAGGGCACGGGCAGGCGGACCCACCCTGCCCCCACCGCACCTGTCTTGGAGCCTCGGGACGTCCTCCTGGACGCCCGGCTCCCGCCCCCCCACCCGGCCTCTGCCCGCCCCCTCCCTCCTGCTCCCGCAGCGACTCCTCCCCACGCACCCCCCTCCGCCGCGGCTCCTCCCCCATCTCCCCTTCCCAGCTTTCTCGCTCCAGCTCCTCCCCGCCTCCAGCCCGCTCCCCTCCCCCCGGCCGCCGAGCTCCATCTCCGCAGTCCCGGCCGCGGGGCGCAGAGGCTGCCGCAGCCCCCGGGGCCGCTGCCGCCTCCCCCGACCCCGAGACCCATTGTCTGCAGCCTCCCCCGCACCCCGTGACTATGGCGCACGAAGCCGGGAGGACCTCTCGTCTCGGGGGGCCCTGCGGGGAGCCCGCGGAGCTTGGAGGTGCGGTAGGGCCCGGCCCCAGGGTTAAGAGCGGGGAGGGGGCCGGGGGGGGGACGCAAGGTACCGGGGGCTGGTGAGAGGTTGGGGGGTGGGGGGCGTGCAGGGCCTTTGGCGCACGGGGTACAGATGCACGGTTTTCTGCACGCCTACCAGCCTCCGTCGCGCCCCCCACACCTTGCGCGGGCGGGTGGCTCGGTGTTGGGGGCGGGAGGGGTGGGGGGGGGCCGGGGAAATGTAGCAGCGTGCGCGTGCCCGCCCCTTCCCCCATGATGGAGTGTCTGGTGTCCCGGAGGTCAGGCGGGACGGAGCCCGGTCTCGCCTTCTTTATGGCCTGGTGATGAGCTCATCTCCCCGCCCCCCAGCTAGCCGTTACCGGGGGCCCGCGGGGTCCTGGAGGCGCGGGAGCTGAGTCCCAGCCGCTCACCCACGTTCTGCCCTGTTTCCTCCCCCTCCGCACCCCCCTCCCCCGCAGGTGATGCTAGCGAGGACGACCACCCCCAAGTCTGTGCCAAGTGCTGCGCACAGTTCTCCGACCCAGCCGAATACCTAGCGCACCAGAACGCATGTGCCACGGATCCCCCCGTCATGGTGATACTTGGGGGCCAAGAGAACCCCAACAACTCTGCGACGTCTTCTGAACCCCGGCCCGAAGGTCACAGTAGTCCCCAGGGCATGGAGACCGAGCACAGCAACCTCCCGGAGTCTGGGACCTCAGGACCCACCGAGCCCACCTGGGCCACAGAGCGCAGGGAAGAGGCAGCTGCAGGACACTTCATGGTCGCTGCCACAGGTACAGCTGCTGGGGGAGGCGGGGGCCTGATCTTAGCCAGCCCCAAACTGGGTGCCACCCCATTACCTCCAGAATCCACCCCTGCACCTCCCCCTCCCCCTCCCCCCTCCTCCCCCGCCAGGGGTGGGCAGTGGCCACTTGAACATCCCGCTGATCCTGGAGGAGCTCCGGGTGCTGCAGCAGAGGCAGATTCATCAGATGCAAATGACCGAGCAAATCTGCCGCCAGGTGCTGCTGCTTGGCTCCTTGGGCCAGACAGTGGGCACACCTGCCAGTCCCTCCGAGTTACCAGGCACTGGGACTGCTGCTGCCACCAAGCCCCTGCTACCACTCTTCAGCCCCATCAAGCCTGTCCAAAGCGGCAAGACGCTGGCACCGTCCTCCACCTCCTCCTCCTCTTCGGGCACAGAAACACCCAAGCAGGCTTTCTTCCACCTTTACCATCCTCTGGGCTCCCAGCATCCCTTCTCTGCAGCTGGGACTGGGCGCAGCCACAAACCCACTCCAGCCCCCACCCCAGCTCTGTCAGGCAGCACTGACCAGCTGATTGCCTCGCCTCACCTGGCATTCCCTGGCACCACCGGACTCCTGGCGGCACAGTGCCTTGGGGCTGCCCGCGGGCTCGAGGCTGCTGCCTCCCCAGGGCTCCTGAAGCCAAAGAATGGGAGTGGTGAGCTGGGGTACGGGGAAGTGCTGGGGCCCTTGGAGAAGCCAGGTGGGCGGCACAAATGCCGCTTCTGTGCCAAAGTGTTTGGCAGTGACAGCGCCCTGCAGATCCACCTGCGATCCCACACAGGGGAAAGGCCCTATAAATGCAACGTCTGTGGCAATCGCTTCACCACCCGTGGTAACCTCAAGGTGCATTTCCACCGGCACCGGGAGAAGTACCCACACGTGCAGATGAATCCTCACCCGGTGCCCGAGCACCTGGATTATGTCATCACCAGCAGCGGCCTGCCCTACGGTATGTCGGTGCCACCCGAGAAGGCCGAGGAGGAGGCGGCCATGCCCGGCGGAGGTGTGGAACGCAAGCCCCTGGTGGCTGCTACCACAGCTCTCAGTGCCACTGAGAGCCTGACGCTCCTGTCCACCGCTGCAGGCCCAGCCGCCACGGCGCCTGCGCTCCCTGCCTTCAATAAGTTTGTGCTTATGAAAGCGGTCGAGCCCAAGAATAAAGCGGATGAGAACACCCCTCCAGGGAGCGAGGGCTCTGCCATCTCTGGGGTCGGGGAAAGTGGCACAGCCACCCGCATGCAGCTCAGCAAGCTGGTGACTTCGCTGCCGAGCTGGGCCCTGCTTACCAATCACTTCAAGTCCACCGGTAGCTTCCCCTTCCCCTATGTGCTGGAGCCCCTGGGGGCCTCCCCCTCTGAGACCTCCAAGCTGCAGCAGCTAGTAGAAAAGATTGACCGCCAAGGCGCTGTGGCTGTGGCCTCTACTGCTTCTGGAGCCCCCACCACCTCGGCCCCTGCAGCGTCCTCTTCAGCCTCCTCCGGACCTAACCAATGCGTCATCTGCCTGCGGGTGCTCAGCTGCCCCCGTGCCCTGCGCCTGCACTACGGCCAACATGGAGGTGAGCGGCCCTTCAAATGCAAAGTGTGCGGCCGCGCTTTCTCCACCCGTGGCAATCTGCGAGCACATTTCGTGGGCCACAAGGCCAGTCCGGCAGCCCGGGCCCAGAACTCCTGCCCCATTTGTCAGAAGAAGTTCACCAATGCTGTCACTCTGCAGCAGCACGTTCGAATGCATCTGGGAGGTCAGATACCCAACGGGGGCACGGCGCTGCCTGAAGGTGGGGGAGCTGCCCCAGAGAACAGCTCCGAGCAGTCCACTGTCTCCGGGACTGGAAGCTTTCCCCAGCAGCCTTCCCAGCAGCCGTCCCCAGAGGAGGAGTTATCAGAAGAGGATGAGGACGAGGACGAGGATGAAGAAGATGTGACTGATGAAGATTCCCTGGCTGGCAGAGGCTCGGAGAGTGGAGGGGAGAAGGCTATCTCTGTGCGGGGTGACTCGGAGGAGGCATCCGGGGCGGAGGAGGAAGTGTCTTCCGTGGTGGCAGCCCCGGCCGAGAAGGAGATGGATGGGAACGAGAAAGCGCCTCTGCAGCCTGCCCTGACCGCCCCTGCAGCGCCGCCCAACAGCCTGGATCAAGTCCAGTCCATGGAGCAGGGAGGCAATGATGTTGTCACAGCCGGAGGCTCAGAAGAGGGGGCCAAACCCGAGAGGGGCTCCAGCCCCGTGGTTCTGGCCCTGGAGGGGGAGGGCAGTAGCCCCATCCTGGTGGAGGAGCTGAGCGTGCAGGAAGGCCTGAGAAAGGAGCCCGGGGAGAGCAGTGGCAGGAAGGGCTGTGAGGTGTGCGGCCAGGCCTTTGCCTCCCAGACGGCTCTGGAGGAGCATCAGAAGACCCACCCCAAGGAGGGGCCACTCTTCACGTGTGTCTTCTGCAGGCAGGGCTTCCTTGAGCGGGCTTCCCTCAAGAAGCATATGCTGCTGGCTCACCACCAGGTACAGCCCTTTGCTCCTCATGGTCCTCAGAATATTGCTGCTCTGTCCCTGGTTCCTGGCTGCTCGCCCTCCATCCCTTCCCCAGGGCTCTCCCCCTTCCCCCGCAAAGATGATCCCACAATCCCATGAGCCTGTGCACCCAGACCTGCTGCCCTTTGACCAGGGAGCAGGATCCCAGAGCTCTGTAGAAGGAACCTGAAGATTGATGAGCCCTAACCTTCCCCATTTCCTAGTGTCCCCAGGGAAATCACTGTGCTCCCAGGTGGGATGGGGGGGAGGGTCCTCTCGAGGAACTTTTCTTCACTCTTCATTATACCTGAGGAAAATAGATTCTCTCCCCTTATCTCATTCCCTATGGGAACCCTCTGCAGATTTCCCTGGATGACCAATCTCCCCTCTCCCTTCTTCCTCTCCCTTGCCTGCTGGCAGGTGCGCCTAATGCACCCACATTTGAAGTGACAGTTCAGCCCCCAGGGGCTGGCAACTGGTCCTGGAGGACCCCAGGAAGTCCTCTCTGGTGACCAGGTCAGCAACCTGAAGGACTTCTTGTCCCACAACATTCCTGTGTGGTGGCGGAGTGTGTACCCTATCTTTCTAAAACCAGTACATGGTTTTCCTATCAGGTGACTTGCCCACTAAATCCCGGAGGTCTAGCCCCATTTTCACCATCACTTTGGGCTGACCAGTACTGGTACCTCTGACCTTGGAACTCAGACTGGGAGGTTCATCTGACAATGCTATCTAGAGAGGCCAAGGAGAAGAATGCTCCCCACTTTCTTCAAGCTGACCTCCTGCACCTGAGGCCATGCCTGAGAAGCCCAATATAGAACAGAAGTGAAGTAGCAAATTCTAGATGCCTCCTTCTTCCCTCTGCTCGAGAAGGTGCCAGCACTAAAGAGGTCGCAGTATTTGTGTTTGGTGGCTCAGCACTGGTGGACAGGGAGAGAAGTGCATAAGACACTCTTTCCAGTAAATTATTTGATAGTCATATTGAGGGAAAGTGTTAGCTGCTTGATATGCCAAGACATCTCCAGCTTCTCATATTTGTTCATCATGGCCTTTCAGCATGAGGAAGCAAGCAGATTTCTTGCCAAGAAGTCTTCCAGGGGCTATCTTGGGAAACATGAAGTTATTCGATATCTTGAATGAGCATCTGTCGGGAAGGGTAATTGAAGGAGTACTGTTGGAGAGTTCAGGAGTGTTGGTGATGCAAAGGGCTTGCTCAGAATATATGGATGATTAAGAAAGGGACATGCTGTATGGGAGGGACTTTGACTTCTTGATTGGATGGATGTTATGTTTGTTCTCTTGGACTAATAGTGACTTTTAGTGTGCAGCAATGCACCATGGATCATGGAGAATTCCCTAGCACTAGTATGCTTATAGTTGTAGATATCCCCTGCCTTCATTCCCTAGTCCCTTCTGTTTTCCCCCTCTTCCTCTCTTAATGCCAGTTTCCTCCCCATTTTACCTATTCATGGACCGGGGCTTAAGCCTTTGCCACTGTCTGATCCTTAGCATCCCAGACTTTGGGAGATGTGATCATGGTGGTGTCCTTCCTGCCTCACTGTCTTGTAATGAGATGTAGTATTTACTCTTAACATAGAACTGTTCGGAACAGGAGTTCTGAGGAGAAGGCGGTGAAGGTTCTGCTTTTGATTGATTTGAATGATGGCTTCTCCTCGAAAGGTTAGGCTCCAGGGCTCCTAACATAGTAAGATGTAAAAGAGCAGACAAGGGAGATATTAGTGTCTTCCCCTCTTCATTAAAGGTGTTTTAACCAAATATTTGTGTGTTTCTCCTTATTTCATGACTAAATAGCCAGCTGGAGTGTGATATGGGCATTCCCCAACATTGAGATTCCTTCCCACTTATATCTCCTGCCAAAGCTGAACATATGGTGTTGAAATATTTGATTTATTCAGCCTTGTCCTAAAACAACCTCCAGAGAATGTAGTTTCCCAGTAGAAATGGAGTTTACATTCTCAAATGGTAAAGAGATTTGCCCACTGTGTGCAATTATAGTGTCTGTTGTCTCTTTGCCTAGAACTCCCACGGTCAGGCTTGTGTTTTATTTGGAGGTTGGAACCTGTTGCTATCAGCCTTCCCTAAACCCTTTAGTCCATTTCACTTCATCCGCAGGCCCAAAATAACAATCTCTGTGGTCCTTGACAATTAAAAGAAAAAAAAAAGCATTTCAGATCTAAATTCCTACCAACAAGATAATATAAGGATGGGAGTACTTTTGTTTAAAAATAAAGCTTTTAAAAACATTGTGGTTTTCTGTTTTGGGACCACACCCTGCAGTGCTCAGATTTGCACTCACCTGGCTCTGTACTCAGGAATTAACCCTGGTGGTGCTCAGGGGAACACATGGGGTACTGGGGATCGAACCCAAGTTGGCATCTCTACAGTGTGGTAAGATTTAGACATGTTAAAGTTTTAAAACATGGTAAGTTCTTTTGTTTGTTTTGGGGTTACACCTGGTGGTGCTCAGAGCTTACTCCTGGCTCTGTACTCAAGAGTCACTCCTGGAAGCACTCGGGCCATATGGGTATCTGGGATTGAACCCAGCTTGGCTGAATGTAAGGCAATAACCCTACCTGCTTGGGTGTTTGCCAATCACACATGATAAGGTCTTAAAAGACCTGGCTTTCTAGTGGCCAGAGAGTATAGTGATTAAAGCACTTTCCTTGCATTGTGGCTGACTGGTTTGATCCCTGTCACTGAATAGGGTCCTCAGATCACCACTGGGTATGGCCCAACTCCCTCTCAAAAGGAAAAAAATAAACTGCTTTCTGAAGTCAAGGATACAGCACAATGGACTGGAGTATATTCTTGCATGCTGGAGTCCCAGGTTTGAACCCACATGGTAAGTACCACATGGTCTCCTGAGCACCACCAGGAGTGCTCCCAGAACGAAACAATAGATTACCTTACTTTCTTATTTTGATCACATCTGATAGGGCCTCAGGAGCCATGTGGTACTAGGGATTGAATCTAGAGTCTATATATGTAAAGTTTGAGTCCCAGCCATATGAGCTATCTCCCCAACCCTTTGTTTTCTGAAAGACAGCAATCCCTAGAACTTTAAAAATTACATTCATTAGATTATATCACTGAGTCATACTGCTACAGGGTGGAACCTGTCAAATAATTTGGAAGGAGAATTGGAGCCACACCCAATGGTGCTCAGGGCTCTGTGCTCAGGGATTACTCCTGGCAGGACTTGGGACCATATGGAGTTCCAGGGATCCACCCCAGGTTGGCCATGTGCAAGACAAATACCCTGCCCATTGTGCTATTGCTCTGACCTCAGTCAAATAATTTAATAGAAGCCAGCCAGTTAGTGTGATAATTGGATTAAGAGCCAAAATAGGCAAAATCTTGGGGGTACTTCCAAGTGATCAGGCCTGGTGTTTGCTTCTTGGTGCATCATTCAAGACTCCTGATGTGAGGCTGGCTGGAAGATAGAAGGAAAGGTAAGTAAACCTTTTCTTGCTTTATTCTGGTCAATGAGCATGGATGTTTGATTCTCATGAGCCCCACCAAAGCAATGCAAAAACTCCTTAAAAGGTGGGTTGTGTGGCAGAGAGAATACTGCAAGCAGAGTGCTTGCCTTGAATAAGGCTGGCCTGGGCTTGATTCCTGGCATCCCATTTGGTACCCTGAGCACTGCCCAGGAGTGCAGAAACCAAGAGTAACCCCTGAATACCACTGGATGTGGTCACAAAACAAAAAGGTGATTGGGGGTGGAGGGTGCTAGAGAAACCGTGGTAAAGGTACCTGCTCTACTTGCAGTCAATTTCAGTTTAATCGATGAGCACTGCCAGGAGTATGGCTGTGCTCACTGTTTTGGTTTTTGAGGGGAGGCCCATACCCTGCAGTGCTCTGGGGCAATTAATGCCTCTGTCCAGGAGTGACACCGGGTCAGAGGCATGAATTGTGGTCACTAGGTATTCAAACCAGGCTGTGACAAGTTAGAGCCACCTGAAAGGCAAGTGCCCTATCTCCTATGCTACCCCTCCAGCTTCTCAGCTTATTATTTGCCAAGTATGTTTTGCTTTTTGGACCATACCCAGTGGTGCTCAAGACTTACTCCTGGCTCTGTGCTCAGGGGTCACTCTTGGCAGTGCTTGGGGTACCATTTGGGGTACCAAGGTTAGAGCCTTGTTCAGATTCATGCAAGGCAAGTGCCTTAACCCCTATACTATCTCTTTCTTCACACTGCCAGGTATGGTCCAAAACATCTTTTAAAAAGCAGATTGGAAAGACACAATATGGGTAAGGTGCTTGCCTTGCACGTGGCTGGCCTGAGTTCCATTCCCTGGCACTCCATATGGTCCCTTGAACCCTTCCCCGGATCAATTCCTGAGCACAGAACCAGGAGTAAGCCCTGAGGACAATCATGTGTGCCCCACCACCACCACCAAAAAAAAAAAAAAGTCAGTGGTGATTAGGGACACAATAGGGATCTTGTGAAATCTTTTGGGGAAGAAATAGCTTTTATCTCTTTTATTCCTGGCAAAGCTTTATAACTCTCTTAGCCCATTCATCCTATGGAGGGAGGTGGGTCACCAGTCCTTCTATTCCCTTTGCCTCCCTACCCCCATTGGGCATTGATAATGCCATTTCACTAATTAAAGTAGACTTGGCCTCTCTTTAAATGCCAATTCCCATTATGATAACAGCTGTCTGGGAGGCTTCAGATGAATACCTCATAGAGAGCAGCAGGACTCCCCTCCCCCTTCATTGCTCTGCTTTATTACCTCTTCTGTCTCTTTCATTCTTCCTTTTCCTCTCCTCACCTGCATTTTCTTCTTTCATTGACACCTGACAGCTTTTATTTACTTTTCTTTTATTCCCTTTAATTTGCTCTTGTCTCAAAACCTTTCCCTTGCACCTTCAGCCCCACCATTTCTTAGTCACTTTTGACTGGGTCATCTTTCCCAAAGTGAATTGGTTCTAATTTGCTAGGATGAGTATGTAAATGCAGCTTGCAGGAACATATCTTAAAGAGTGGACGCAGTTCAAACTGGCTAGATGAAAAAACATCATTATAGGAATCAAGAGTTATTGTAGGAATCAAGAGATTGATTTGCTCATTCAACTTGTTTTGTTTTGAGGTCACACTTGATGGTGTGCTGGGGCTACTACTCCTGGCTCTGCTCAGGGGTCATTCCTGGTAGTGCTGGGAATGGAACCCAGGTTTACAACAAGAAAAGCACATGTTGAATCTGTTAAATTATTTCCTCCAGACCTCATTCAACTTTCAAGGACTTCTGGGTTCAGATACCAACTGTTGGATAGGTGGAAAAACAAAATAAGACACACTTATGCATCCAGGGAAGTTTAGGAAGAGGGCAACATAGGAACATTTTTTTTTTAGGAACTGTTTTTTTTTTTTGCTTTTTGGGTCACACCTGGCGATGCTCAGGGGTTACTCCTGGCTCATGCACTCAGGAATTACTCCTGGCGGTGCTCAGGGGACCATATGGGATGCTGGGAATCGAACTCGGGTCGGCCATGTTGGCTGCATGCAAGGCAAACGCCCTACCCGCTGTGCTATCGCTTTTAGGAACATTTTTTAAAACTATTTTTTGTTTGTGTTTTGGACAACACCCAGCAGTGCTCAGGGCTTACTCCTGGCTCTGCACTCATTGTTCATTTCTGGTGGTCTCAAAGGAATCAAATGGGATATGGGGAGTGCTTTACCACCTGCGTACTCTCTCCAGCTCTCCAGCCTCTGATATGAACATTTTTAAGATTTTATTCTGTCTCTCTCTCACCCACCCATACCCCCCCTACACACACACACACACACACAAGCTTTCAGATGCTCAGAAATGACTCATGAAAAGATGGACAATGGGTAAGAGTCAAATAACTACTTTCAGATACACTTATTCCATACAACTTGTAGACTAATTCAGTTACCATTTAAGAATCTTTATAAGAACCTTTCCAAGATTCCTTTGACAATCACAAAAATATACAACTCTAGGGATGTCTTCAACAAAGAACCCTTTGCAAGAAGCATGTTTAATTTACAAACTGACAGCTCCTAACTGTCTAGCTCTTTTCTAGTCCTGACCAAAGACTGAGTCAAGAGGTGGTGGCACAAAGGCTTAGCCTTTCCTATAGAATATGTGATTTTGAAGGCATGAGATCTAAACTGCAACCCCTATAACTCTAATGTGCCTGTCAAGTTGATAGGTTGGGACAGGCTAGGGGTTGAGGTGAAGGGAAGTTGACACTGGTGGTGGGATTGTTGTTGAAATATTATATGCCTAAAACTCAACTTCAGGGCTGGAGAGACAGCACAGTGGGTAGGGCATTTGCCTTGCACGTGGCTGACCTGGGTTTGATTCTCAGCATCCCATATGGTCCCCTGAGCACCGCTAGGAGTAATTCCTGAGTGCATGAGCCAGGAGTAACCTGTGTGCATTGCCGGGTGTGACCCAAAAGGAAAAAAAAAAACTCAACTATCAATAACTTTGTAAATCACAGGTTTGTTTGTTTTTTTAAGTTAAACATGTGATTCTGTTGAAGAAATATGGCTTATGAACTTCACATTGGACTGGCAAAAACTTTATCAGGTCTACATCATGGTCTGACAGCTCTCCCTGCTCAGTCCTACTTAGTCCCTGTATTTCCCCCACCCCTTTTTTTTTCTTTTTGGGTCATACCTGGCAGTGTTCAGGGGTTACTCCTGGGTCTTCACTCAGGAATCACTCCTGGGCGTGCTCGAAGGACAATGTGGGAAGCCAGGGATTGAGCCTGGG